CACAAAGCATTTTCTCAGTATTTATGAGATTGGAGAGACAGGAATAATTGGGCACTTGAAGCTTGGTTTGTGTAATAGCACAGCTCTGTTTCAGATTTGATCAGAACCCAGTTGAATCCAGAAAGAACTAGAGAAGGTAAAGACCAAAGTCCTGGTTTCAGGTTTTGGTCACATTTCAACTTGACATTTTTGTCAAGATATTATCTTTCTTCTGAGACATACTAACCACTGTAGAAGCAGCATGCTCCCCTCCTTGCAAGCAGACAGCAGGTGAACTAGTGCCAGCTGCACCTGACTTCTTACCACCAGCAGACAAAGCTTCCAGGTCCCCATGTATAAATGGTTCCATTTATTTACATGAGCACAAGCTGTCCTCCCCTTGGGTTTGCCTGAGGAGAGTGTTCACCCTTTACTGCTCCATCTAATTACTGACTCAGTCTAATGGCTCATTACTGATCCAAATTGCTCAGTCTACTGGCTGCACAACTAGGCCATTAACATTTTCTAGAGGTGAGACTCTTGGAAACCAGCAGGAAGAGAGCCACAGAATGGGTCAATTTGCCCACAACTGCAGCAGAGAATTTCCCTGCAATGACGGCTGTCTTTAAGCCCACTTCTTGCAGGCAAACCCACAAAAAGGAACCCAATTCTAGATGTTTAATTGACAGGAATTTTAAGTTGCTCATCTTAGGTTCCTCAAATTGCTTCAGTGTTTTCTTGTAGGTTGCAAACTCATTGGGCAAAGTTTTCACAGCTCCATACAAGAGTCACGTCTACATGTAAGACAGTAAGTGCAAAATGAGCTCAACCCAGGCTTTGCCTTCTGTGGGGGCATCACAGCTTACCTGTCCCAGGTTCAGAGAATTGCAGATGCTATTGCCAGTTTTTGCAATAGTGAAACAGAGCAAGTCAAAACAGGCCTGGAATCTTATGCACTGCTAGAGACTTTACGAAAGAATTCATACCACTCAAGACTCTATGACTGACACTGACAGTTTACCCAGCCCATATTTACCCTGTACTTGCATTATCTTTTAATCCCAGATTATAGAACCAAGCCTCCTTTCCCATTTCCTTCACTCAGTTGATTTAAAAACAGTATCAACACCTCTCACACAGTGTCCAGGACAATTAGCAACCACTAACAAACCAGTATCCGCACTTGGATTTTATTCTTCTTCGCTCATGTCCAATCTCCCCACTTTTAATTCACAGTTTCCAGCTTTAAGAAGGAAGACCAAGTTGACTTTATGGAGATAAGAAATGACACGGCTGCTTTTTACATCCCTGTCTCCTGACCAGTCTACTTTTTAAAACCTGCTTCGTGACTCCGAGACACTACTCATGGCTACAGTATGCTAAATCTGTAGCTTTGAGCTCATAAAGCCCCAGCATTCCTCAGATAAAGAAAATAAAGGTTTGTTTTGTTTCGTGTTTGCTTGTTTTGTTTCAAACGTGTGGCACAATTTCCCTTTGGCTGGAAAGGAACGTTCTGCATTCTTTAGGCAGGGAAGAAATCCAGTCATGTTGGCTCCAAGGCTGCCTTTCGCTGCTTCTTGAAACATTAACAGCCTCCCAGTGGGAGAGAGGGGGGAGATCCACGGCCCTCTAGGGGACAGCGTGCATCTTCCAAGTCTCTCAGGCCTTTCAAACTAAGCAGCAACTGAAGTAAATTAGTGCAGGAAGCTCCTTATGAGAAAGGATTGTACAAGTTCCAAGTCGGAATAAAGAATTGACAGCAACAGAAACCTGCAGGTTCTGGATATTTTAATCCCACCCAAGAATAACTGCATTCCCTGAAAAAAGGTCCTGGAAACTTGTTCTTCACTTGCAGGCTGAATTCAGCACAGAAAGAACAGTGGTAAGTGTCTGAGCTGAAGTGTCCACACACTGAGCATGTCCTGGAGAACCTGGGTTTCCATTCCACCTCATGCCTCCATCTCCCCATGCTCTGCCTTCCAGCAACAGATCACTTCTCAGATACAGAACAAATCAATATGTCCTATTTTAAAATTTTATGCCTGGTGCCAATTTAATTTGATTTAAATTACCTTACAGGGCAAATTGTATGAGTAACTGGCATTGCATCATACAGCAATAGCAGCAATGTAAACATGGACAACCAAAGCATGTGGTTTAAAAACAAAAAGGGTTTCTTGCCAGCACTCTTGCCTGTTCTCTGCAGAAAGCTCCACAGAGCCACTGGAACTACATGCCAAGCCACATGACCATAAAGCCATTTCATTTTGTTTTCATCAGTAGTGAGAGCACCTGTGAATGGAATCACATTACCTCACATCTTCTCCATCATATCTATTGATCCTCAGAAATTAGGGGTAAATAGGATGAAAGAGAGGCCAAAACATTTGGAGAAAAGAGTTACTGATAACCAGCCTTCTTGCCTTTTCTGAAGGAGAGCTAATACACTAGTAAAGTCTTCATCTATTACTCAACAGCTTAAGCCTACCCAACCGCACTGTTTAAGGTAGAGAAGCCTCCATCCAAAAAACTATTTTGCCCTGAAGACCTGAAAGGCACCAGCATCACGTGAAGTTTATTAGCTCCATATTTTACGTTCCTGTATGAATGGACAAAAGAAATCACTTCTGAGAGTCTTAGCTATTCCTTTTCCTCCTGAAAGTGCCTTTTCTGTGCCAGATAGTGTTCTTTGACTCATCCAGCAATGGAGAGAGGAGCCTGCTGTGCAATCAGACAAGTCCAAAAGCTCCCAAGTCAGATGGAAGTTGTCCAAAGTGATGTCAGAAGTTTCCAGGATGTGT